TCTTCCCGTGTAACAGGCCTTAAACTACATTAGTTCACCAGGTATTCTTGGACAAAAATAGCCTATCTCTGCTCTACCCCCGGGAAAGGCCCAGGGAAGATAAGTGAGTTGCTCCAAGTCCTCCGAGGTCTGAACTCCTGAACGCTGCTCTAATGCTAGGGGCCCAGGGAACTGCACTTTTAGTAAACAGTTTGTTGTAAGATAAATTGAAAGACTTAGCTGGTAAACAACGAAAGCAACGGAGGTCGGTGCCTTCCTGCTAAATTGCTGGCACCGGGGAACAGCAGAGAGACGAGCAGAGTCGGTGGCGAGGGGCTGAGGCGGTCTTGTCAGCTGTGGCTACTCATTTACTGCTCAGGTGACCTGATTGACTGACTGTCAATCCCTCTCTCTACACGGGTCATGGTCCTGAAAGCCCTGACCTGGGACTCTTGTTCACAGAGAGTTTCTTGGCTAAAGGGGTCAAAGATACGGGCTGGGTTGTTACTGACCTGGTCCAATGACCTAGAAGAATGCAAAATGCAGAGACGAAAGAAGAACTAACATTTTTAGACAATAGTAAGGACAGGCTTCACAAATCAACGTTTCTCAGTGTTAGCTGTCCCAAGGATTCAAGTTACTGACTGGGACACCAGCCTCCGTGATGACTGCCAGCCCAGAGTTCGCACAATGGCAGTACATTTTCATAGCCTGTGTCCTTAGTGACTAAAAAGTTCCCCTCTGCTTCTTCTCACCGAGGAAAACTGTGTTTGTTTAGGGAGGAGGTGAAGTGGAGAGGATGAAGCCGAGAAAGAGTTGCTTAGGTTAGAGTTTTTCTTTTCCTCCAGCAACAGTAAAAATGGGCTTTCCAAAGGACAGAAGGCAGGCGACCTAGTATCCCAGGTCCTGGCATTTTGTTTTCTATCTAGAACCCCAAAGCAGTTCAATGAAGTCTTTATGGGGGGAGGGGCTTCATCTTTCTTTACCAGACTTTGACTTTTTTTGTTCCAAGGTGTTGTCGTTCACAAGTCATTCATACAGGGGAGCTTTGACTCCAGGATCCCCTCACCCGTGGGCATCCAAATCTGGATTCTCTAATCTCTTGTAGACAATGTCACGGTGTTTGCACAGGACCTGCGCCCCTGTCTGTACACTTTACATCACCTAGAGACTGTTTGTAATACCTAGTGTGAATGCTGTGTAAATAGTCACACTGTTGTTCAGGGGACGAGACAAATGCAAAAGTCTGTGTGTTCATCCAGTTTATAAAATGACTCAAATCTGCAGCTGGCTGTGTCTGTGGGTGTAATTTCACACTTACAGAAAAGTTAAAAGCATGGTACAATCCAGAGTCTCTAAACATTAACATTTTACCACGTTTTTATTCTCACTTTTATATAAACATATAAGGTTTTGTTCAGTTATACTTATTATTCTCTGAACTTTATGGATTTTTACTGTATTTTGTTTGTTTTGTTTTGTTTTTGAGACAAGGTCTTCCTATATAGCTCTGGCTAGCTTGGAACATGCCTCGTCAAAAAAAAAAGGGGGGGGGGACATACATTATATTTTATGATAAAGAACATAAAAAATATGGTGGCTGAGGCCACGCCTGGTAACACACGCCTTTAATTCCAGCACTAGGGAGTTCAAGGCCAGCCTAGTCTACAGAGTGAGTTCCAACACAGCCAGCACCACACAGAGAAACCCTGTCTTGGAAAACAAAACAGAAAAAGAAACAAAACCTTGTCTGTAATAGATAGCAAAGTCTCAGGCACTGCAAATGCTGCTGAAGTGTGTTGCTGGTTTCATAACTGAAAGATGTGTTGTTTCAGTAACAACTTAGAAAACAACAGAGAGATTCTCTTCCCTGTCTAAGTGGATCATGCCTTAAATTCTAAGTGCGGACTATCTCCAAGTTCTATAGGAACCCCCAGGTGCTTTCATTGATCTCCAAATCCTCCACTTATCCTAATTCAAGCCTCTTGTGTCTGGTCACTCATCATCACTGGAATAGCACCCACCTTCCTCATGGCATCCGGGGCTCGTGGTCCCCTTGGGAACTCACCAGTCATTATATGTGAACAGAGGAGGGCACGAGGGTCGAGACGATGAAAGGAACACGGCTTCGTGTGTCAGAGGCTGTTCTGGAGGTTGTTCTGGCCCAAGGACTTTTAGCCTAGCGTGTTAGCACCCACGCTGAGGTGCCTGTGTTGACTCTATCAGCTCAGCTTGGACACCGCTCAGCCCCAGCTACCAGAGAATCCAGGGTTTCCTGTTCTCTCAAATGGGAAGGCACAATGTTCCAGGCCGCAATAGCTTTTGCAAACACCTTGTATCTGTGAGCCTGCTTTATCTTCTATAAGTGACCCAGATAATATGTTTTCCACGAGACCAGACATAAAACCAGCCAAGACTGTGTGCAACTCTCCAGTGGAGAGGCCTTTGCCAGTGGGTGGCAATCTCACTATTTACTCCTCTCTCTTCTGCCCCTGGCAAAGACGACAGCCGAAGTCACATCCTCTATTAGAGGGACATTAAAACCCACAATTGTTTTTGCTTTCTTCAGATAATTTCTCTGGAAATTTGATTTACAGTGAAATTAGACATTTCAATATTCAGCGACTATCAAGGGCAGGCTTAAACACAACACTATAACTAATTGGATTTACGAATATGAAATGTCATTAAAATCTCTGAATATGTCATTTTATGAGTGCTTTCTGCTTTTCCCCATAATTATGCATTTTAAATTATTATGTATTTGAGAAGCAGAAGCCCTGCTGCCTGGACATTTGTATGCTACAAATCAATTCCTACACAAAAAAGATTTGGGGAAACTAAACCAAATTATTAAGTAATTTAAAAGCCTGTTTTTAAACATCTATAACTGTACCATGAGCCAGCTACATCCCATGTTTCCCATGTTTTGATGTTTCTCATTGGTTTAATATCAGTCAGAAGATTTTTTTATTTCTTTCTTTATAAGTCTTTTAGGGGAAAAAGGTGAAAAGAGTCCATTTTTTTCCTTAAGCAGTAAAGATGATACACTGAATTATTTTATATCTTAAATATGCTGTTGATTATAAAGTGGTAGAAATTAAGTACATGTATATGTATTTGAAATCCTATTTATACATTTGTTTATAGACACATTTATTTGTCAAAATACTGAGTCACATGTAATAACCATTACTTTAAAGGGGACATTAAAGAGAAAAAGAAAAGAAGAAATTTCTTAATAACCCAAAGCAGGCATGATTCTGGAGGCGTCCACACAGTCTGCACTTCAGTTTGTGTCAGTTGGTTTTCTTCTGTGAAGTAATCCAGGCCTGTGTGAGTCTAAGGAGAAAGAATCAAGGACAAAGACACCGTTGGGGGCTGGAGAGATGGCTCAGCAGTTAAGAGCTTATACTGCTTGGAGAGATGGCTCAGCAGTTAAGAGCTTATACTGCTCTCGCAGAGGGCCCAGGCTCTGTTTTCAGCACCCACGTTAGGCTGCTGGCAACCACCTGTTACAACAGCCTCAGGGGATCCCATCATCTCTTCTGGCCTCTGCAGGCACCTGCACTCCAGTGCACATATCATACACACACACACACACACATCACACACACACATACACACACACACATATCACACACACACACACGAGTACATAATTTTAAAGATAAATCTAGAAGAATAAAACTAAACACACTGTGTTGACCTGGCAGGGAACCTTCCAGGCCTGCAGGCTATGGGGAAAGAGAGGGCTCTTTCCAAAGGTGATGTTCTCTCTGGCTGGCTGCCCCACACTGACTTAGGAACTAACACAGTGTTCCTATGTGGAGAGGGAGCTGACCTTTTCCCCTGTTCCCCCTTGCCAGAAGTTAGAAGGGCAGGGCCTCCATGACTTCAGACCTGAAGCAGCCAGACTTCCTCCTACTGGGTGGGGTGCCGCTCCACAGGTCCACAGTAAGCACAGCGTGCCGAGGGGAAGCAGAGGCACAAGTCCCTGTGGAAGGGTACAGGAAACCCGTCTCTTGCTTGCACAGCAAAACTGATATTTCCTATTGGCTCTGTGCTGGATACTTTGGTCAGTTTTACCGGAAAAAAAGCTGCTTCATTTTGTCCTGTTTATACATACTTTTATTTTTCTACAAGAACTTAGTGTTAAAGAGAGAATTTAAAGATTTGAGATACCAGACCTTCATTTCCCACACTACTCTTACTTCCTGGACTCTCTCACTTCGTTCTCCCGATAGAGTAGCAATACTCTCTGAGCCAGATGGGAGGGGGACTCGAACTCACTCACAATAAGAAACTAGAAACCACACCAGGAATGCTTTCTTACTGATAGCTGCTCGCCTCTCCTGGATTCTGAAAATAAATGGCAGTCTGGCAGGACAAGAAGACTGAGCTAAGTACAGTGGTTCTTAATCTGTAGGTCGCGACCCTTTTCTGGGGGCTTAAATGGCCTTGTCACAGGGGTCACCTAAAACCACCTGAAACATGGATCTTTACATTATGATTCGTTACAGTAGCAAAATTACAGTTATGAAGTAGCAATGAAAGTCATCGTTGAGCCTCGCCACAGTGTGAGGAACTGTATTAAAGGGCCCCAGCCTGAGGAAGGCCGAGAACTGCTCCTCTAGGGGACTTTGATCCTGGTTTGCTCTTCAGTTTCACTGAGTGATGAGAGCTAAGGTTTTACGGTGAGACTCTGTCTCTCAGATGGATGAGTTCGTGTGGGAGATTAAGGTCCCTCCCCTGTGCAACTCTGGTGGTTCCTTCTGCCCCGTGACTGTGCCGGTTGGATTCCACTCCCTTTCTTCCCATCTGGATTTTTCTAAATTCTGCCTGGTTGGCTTTGGCACGATCTTTAAAAAGCCTTTGTGACATAAACGACTTGTCTTTTCCAACAAGCTACCGGATAATCATTGTATCTATTTGTCTACTCAAGTTCTTAGAAATAGCTCACATTCGTCAACATGCGATTGTTCTAATTTGCATTTTTCTTTCTAATTTTGGACATCCAGGACACCATCCTTTATTGTTCGTGAGAGAAGTGTCCCTGTCGCGTATAGGAGAAAGAAAATGTTGATGTTGTTTTGGGTGTTGGCCCTCCTTGTCCTGTGCACTTTGCTGTGGAATTACAAAGGACAACTGAAGATAGCAGATGTCACCGACAAGTACATTTTCATCACTGGTTGTGACACAGGCTTTGGGAACTTAGCAGCGAGGACTTTTGATAAAAAGGGGTTCCGTGTCATCGCTGCCTGCCTGACTGAGTCAGGAGCGACGGCTTTGAAGGCAAAAACCTCAGACAGACTTCACACGGTGCTTCTGGATGTCACCGACCCTGAGAATGTCAAGAAGACTGCCCAGTGGGTGAAGAGCCATGTTGGGGAAAAAGGTAAGAGAAGAGTTCTGTGGGGTGGGGCGGCTGGGAGATGGGGAAGCAACTAAAGCAAAATAAAATGAGTCTTAAATGGCTTTTCAAGAAAATGTCTGCGAAGGCAATTTCCTAATCTCCACAGAGCTCCTAAGTAATCCCACTGCACGTGTGAGATGTGTCCCAGACAGACTGCCTAGAGTCTCAGCAGGTGAATCTAGAACAGAAGTGAACGCCCTACCTGTTTCTGACCTTCTCCAACAACATCTCAGCAGAGGGAGTTGAGGCTCGAGTCTATAGAGAGTATGGAATGAGCCTCCAGATCACCACTTGGATTACCTGGGACCCACCCCTCCACAGATGGGTTCCAGAGTGCAGACATCTTTAGTGGTTGGGAGAACAGGACCTAAGGATGTGAAGATGCGGGTCTTAAGGAGTCCAGCTGACCCAGTCAGCTGCAAACACTCCCTCTGCTTTAGATCGTTAAATAACTGCACTCTGAGCTGGGAGAGTTTTGTCAGCTTTGAATCATCAAATATTCTCATAGAAGAAGATATCAGGGTTCATAATAGAGAAAAGCAAATGTGTGTTTGAGCTCTTTAGCTCTAAGCCTCTGAACCTCAAATGCAGTGATTTAGCAAAGACTCTGGACAAATTCGGGTGCCTGAATTCCAACACCTTTAGCAATACTACATATTTCCAGTCAAGAAACAGCCAAGTAGATGACTTATTTTTCTAGCAAATTTCAACATAAAGTGGGTTCTATCACTTTTCCATCCACACAGAATATTTTATAAATACACACTGACTGCACCATCTTGCTAGGCAGGGAAACAGACTAATTTTCTCTACGTCTGAGATGAGAAATCAGAAAGTCTGCCTTCAAAAAGCATAAACAATATGACACTTGGAACCAGAAATAGAATAGTGAGGCTGAATTCCAGTAGCTAAGCATGGACCACTTCAACTTAGTCTCTCACTCTGTCAGCTACCTCTTCTCCGAAACGCGAAAACATTTCAAAGCAGGAATGACTACAAAACGCAAATCACACCACTGTGTAAAGAAAGAACTGTATTTCCATCAGAGAGGCCCATAGAAAGAAACCACATCTTCCACCGTGTCCCCTTCCCTCCCTCCCTGCTCCAGGTCTGTGGGGGCTGATCAATAACGCTGGTGTCCTGGGCGTGCTGGCTCCCACTGATTGGCTGACGGTGAACGACTACAGAGAACCCATTGAAGTTAACCTCTTCGGACTCATCGACGTGACGCTCAATATGCTTCCGCTGCTCAAAAAAGCGCGTGGGCGCGTTATCAACGTCTCCAGCGTCGGAGGCCGGCTTGCGTTTGGTGGTGGGGGCTACACTCCATCCAAATACGCGGTGGAAGGTTTCAATGACAGCTTGAGGTAAGGTGAATTAATTCATTTACACGATAATTGCTGCTAACGCATACCTGATACTTAGTATATATGAGGTATCCTTTTTTAACACTGTAAATATTTCCCCTTGTCCAGGGTTACACAGCTGGTATGTGGTAGAACTGAGATTTGAACCCTACTCTGCATTTGGCTCTCACTGATTTCACTTCGTGTATTAGAGCATGATGCCCCCAGTGGGGTGAACTTTCAGTCAGCAGGTCAGTTTGTCTAGTAGAGAATTGTTCAGGGTTGGTTGCTCCATTGTTATTTCTGGAAGGTGCTAACAGGATAGTACCAGCTTCCTTATGTCCTCAACAGCTGCCCAATACACTCCACTTGGGTTTTGCAGCTGTATCCTGGGTGAGAGGCAGGGAGGGGATGCTTGATTCATCTTACCTGGAACCAGAATTCGCAACTATCAGTTCAAAGTCCCTAAGTGCTTTTTCAGTCAAGGGTCTTAAAAGCAATGACCTTGCATTGAAATTGTGTTAAGAGAATAGCGTTTACTGAAAGGACAATTTCCAGATATGTGGGAGATGTGGAGAGAAATCCCAAAGGACAGGAATAGGGGCTAACACCAAAGGGCATTACTATCCAAGGACTAAGGGATGAGCAGACACAGAAGTCTCTAGAACCTGGAGACACAGAGACTGACAGCTCCAGCTAAAGGATGAAATAACCAGTGTTGACACCACATGAGGAATTATCAATTTCACATCTTGTACTGGCACTCCTGATTCTGATAGTCTATGTGCACCAGATGCTGGGGTACACTAATGCAGGTGAGCCTTCTGGGATATAGTGCAAGCAAAAGGGACCAGGGAAGCAAATGGAAGATAAGACGGTTGAGTCGTGCTGAAACAAGCAAGAGAAAAGACAAAATTGGTATTGGCTCGCCTTTAATTCCCCCATTTGCTTATTCAACTGGTATTCACTGAAGGCATATGTTAGAGTTATGCTGTATACCACAGATCCAGGAGTAGCTTAGTAATAAAAAGGATAGATGACCCCACTGAGGTTAATAGAGGCCGATAGCTCCATTCTGCCCCCATGATCTAGTTGCCAAGGTGGAGTCTCCTAAGAGAAAAACACAATAACATTTCTTCGGAACATTAATGTGAAGTAATATAGCCTGGAGAACTTGTTAAAGAAGCTTAAGGGGCGGGTCTGGGATACGACCGGGGAGTTTTTCTGCGGCATTACCAGGTGTTGTCTTCTGCTCAGAAATCATCACACTTCGAGTAACACTGTCATGGTGATTTCTCTCAGCCTCATTCCGTTCTACAAAACGCAATATCATAATAAAATGCTAGTATTTAAAAAGATACTTCAACTGGAGTGTTTGTAGACTCTGTTGTGTAGCTATACACTGCCTTAAAGTAACCAACAGGAAGTGTTTATGTCTTTATGAACCACAGAACTGGTATTTGACACGGAATGGCTCATGCAGACTAGTCCAGTGGCTGGTCCAGGGTATCTTCATACATAGAGAAGGGCTGAGGGACAACAAAGAGAGGCCTGGGACTCCGAAGCTGTATTTGCTCAGCAAGCTTGTTGGTTTCATGTTGTCATAGCAACATGTAGGTCTCTTAAACTTAGCAGAGTGGCCTGTCTCCTGTCCGTGTCATCTTCACAAGTACGCAGGAAAGAGGTCTTCTCAAATACCTCCTTGGAACTGCCATCTCCCAGATCCAGCAAACATCAGTTGGCAGATGAATAAAATATAAATAGGTTGAAAAATAACCTTTAAGATTTTAATGTAACACACCTTTGAAAATCTCTCAGGATTGAACTGATTTATATTGTCAGTAAATAAAATATATTTCAGATTGGGCAATAGTTTTGTTGCTAAGAAGCACAGTCTGGAAAGAATTGAATTACATTTTAAGATTGCAGCTAGAGCTTACAAAAATGCCTTATGGTGAGGGATGGGGATGCAGCTGAGTGGCAGAGCTCTCGCCTAGCAATACAAGGTTCTGGGTTCAAGCCACAGCATGGGTAAGATGTCTATAAAATGAGTAATTGCCTCTTTATACATTCCTAGTGGAAATATGCATTAAAATTAGGAAACAACTATTCATGCAATACATTGTTCGGTTGACAGGAAGGAGGTGCCAACAACATCTCTAAACTGTGACTCAGTAAATATGTAGACTTGAGGTTGTTTATAGTGTTGTGAAGGGACAGCCTGCTCAGCAGCACAGGGATCAAGGCGGCATTGCCAGGGATCGTGATACTAGATCTTTTAGCATCCTCAGTCATTCTGCAATCCACATTCCAAAACCCAAGGGAAACCTGTCCACCCAAGCCAGTCCCTGGCCCATTTCCCCATCAGATAGTTTGAGCATGGAGAAGTGGAGAAGAAATCCTCTTAGCCCAAATGCTTATCAGCTTAACAAGAACTGGATTAGTGTTCTGTTATTCAGAGGGTTGTCCCACCCACTTCCATTTCCTGTTCCGTCATTCATTGTCACCTGACCGCCTTGAACTCCAGTTTCTTCAACTTTCAAGTGACGGGGTAGAAGAAGATGTTTGTGGCCAACACAGTCAGTGTTGACTCTGTGCAAAGATTTATGAGTAACTTAGTTAACAAGTAGTCAACATTCTCCAAACAAACTTGAATGAAACAGCAAGAACAACAAAAGGCCTAGGATGTGACTACCTAATGCTTGCCTAGCCTGGATGAAGCCCCTAGGTTGGACCACAGCTCAATGAAAACATGTTTTCTTTCTCCAGAGTTGGACTTTTTTTTTTATAATCGTTAATATTGAGAACACTACTTCGCATAACCTGGTATAAAGTGGTAGCTGTGTGTGCAGGCCATTGTAGAAATTGTTAGAAACTCTATTTTAATCACTGGCCAAAATTCACTAAGATTGTTTTAGGAAATTCAAGTCAGATGTTCAAGTATCAGTTATCAAAGTCAAACATCCTATCATAATACAATAGGAAGACATACTAACATGACAATTACATGCTGAGTAATGACAACAGTAAATACCAAAAATTTTGGTTTTCAATAATAAAAACATCATGTTTCTTTAAGAACAGAAAACCTGGTTTGTACAGAAAAACAGCACCATTGATAGCATACTTTTCTCTCAAATCCTATCCGAATGTTTCACACAGCTTGCATCGATTTTGCCTGGGATAACGGCAGGTGCAGAGCAAAGAGCACAGGTTCTGTGTTCAGAAACCAAAGGCACAGTGAGATTGTCCATGTAACATGGACACGCACTACAATGAACACCTCAGATTCGTCACTCAAAGAATTTTGAACCAATTTTTCATTATGGAGCATTCAACAGTCAATTAACTGCTGCCAAATTCTTTATAACCCCGGCACTCAGTTACAGGATGCCATATGGGTCCTGACCCACAGTTTGAGAAACTGAGCTCTTAGGTGAGGAGCAGGGAGTTTATGTAATCATAAACTTCCTCCAGAATCATGTGTCAGTGCCCCCAGTGATAGACGGAATGCCAATTTTCTGCTTCGGATGGGGTGCAGGAAAACAATTTTTATGATTTATTTATCTTTATTTTATGTGCATTAGAACTGAATTTTCAGACAGTTGTGAGCTGCCATGTGGGTGCTGGGAATTGAACTCGGGTCCTCTGGAAGAGCAGTCTGAGCTCTTAACTGCTGAGCCATTTCTCTAGCCCCAGGAAAACATTTTTTTAATTAAAAAATTCTTTGATTGCTCTTCTCACAGGCGGGACATGAAAGCTTTCGGTGTGCATGTCTCGTGCATTGAACCAGGACTGTTCAAAACGGAACTGGCAGATCCCAAGAAGACAACTGAAAAAAAGCTGGCCATTTGGGAACACCTGTCTCCAGACATCAAACAGCAGTACGGAGAAGACTACATCGAAAAAAGTGAGTTTGGGGGTGAATCCAGTGTCTTCTGGGATCCGTCGTCCTGGCCATCGTGAAGAGTCACAGACACAATGACGGGAATCTTTAATCTGGGTTTAAGCCCAGTACCACCTCTTGCTTGTTACTGACAAATTAACAAATGCTAGGCATTATGCTAGGAATTTCTGAATTTGTGCCTCAAAAGAAGTACTGGAGTAGTGAACAACGGCTTTGCAAGGTAAAGATTCCTTTCCCGGGGATTCAGCATCTCCTGGTCAGCTCAGATATGAAGCCAGGCTGCCTGGCTCTCAGCGTCTCATTTGTATACCTATTTCATCTTGTTACTAAACACAAGCCACTCTTTCAGCATTGTGCAAGATTCTGTGGTGGGTAGATAAGACTCAGACTGTGGTCCTTAGAGTCCCCTAGAGCTGACGACAAAGAGTAACCAAGTAAACACCAGACTACACGGCATCAAGAAAACAGACCCTCTTTAGGGAGACCCAGAGAGTCAAAAGTGAAGCGGATGATGCCGTCTTTAATTGCCCTGGAATATGGGCCGAGAAGGGGACCCAGCTGATGGAGAAGCCTTAACAGGACAGGACAAGTTTGAATAAGGCTTTAGAATCCAGGAAAAGAGTTACTCGGGCGGAGGAAGCTCTCGGGGGTCAGGAACACATGGAAGGGGAAGAGGAAGGAGAGGTAAAATGAGTCAAAAGACTGAGTCACGGGGAGAGAATCATAATCGAGATTACACAATGATGATTTATACTGTGAACATTTACAAAGCACCCGTCATCGCTCTAAGTGCCCCACACGCCCACTTTCATTCATTTACAATCTGGAAGCTCTATGGAGTAGATGCTATGCCCTTCACTGTACAGGAATGACATACAAATGTCATAGACATAGAAATGACACACCTGAAACTGCACAGCTGGATTTGAACCCAGCATAATTGTGTCCTGCATTCTTGGGTGGCGTGCCCCCCCCCCCCATGTCTGCGCTCTGTGCGCTAGAACCCAGTTCGCGAGCTTCGGGAAAGGGGGCTGGAGGTTGAGAATACAGACACAGAAACAAACCGACACACGAAGATCTTTTAACACTGATCCCAAAGCCCCAAGAATCTCCCTTTATTGTGTTCAGGGGCAGATTATATAGAGATAGCCACACCCCAGCCAAACCCACCAGAAACCACTCTCCTGCCATCAGGAACTCCTGAAGGTCTCGTGCTCAGAACAGCTGTAGGCACTCAGATCAGGGGAAAACAAGTTGTTTACAAGAAATTCAGGCTCTGAGGTCTCACTGCTCCCAACACTTGGGCATTCTAATTAATACAAAGAAAGCAATAGAGTGAAGACTTCGGTCAAAGTTTCTCTTAGGCCCTTCCTCCCACCCCAGTAATGTTTGCTTGCTCTTCCTCAAACACTGAGCTCTTGCCTTCAGTGGAACAAGGCCCTGCCTTCCCTCCATGTCACACCATCCCTCCAGACTGTGACTCTGCCTCATCACTGGTCACACAACGCAGCAAGGTTCAAGATCAGCTGAATGGAAACCCAAGACTAAAATTAGAAAACACACAGGGAAGTTTCCAAGATGACGGGCAGTCCCAGCCACCACCATCTCAATGGAATACACTCACACACACACCAGGAAAAGCCTCCTGAGGATTCCAACTAGAACGCCTGGCTGACAAACTTGCCCAAGGATGTCTCTCCGTGAGCTTTAAGCCAGCACCATTAGAAGCTGTATTTCTTACATTCTGACTCCAGAGGTCTTATGTAGGTCAAAGGTAAAAGATTGAACTTAATCCTGCTAGACTTAATTCTTCAGAGACAAGGCCCTTTGTCTAATAGAGTTTTCCATGTTAGATAATCAGGGTGATAACGATAATTAGCTATGACTATATCACAAAATTCCTTCCAAGAATTTTCTGGCATATAACAGTTGCAAGTATTTATGAGGCACGGTGTGACGTGGATATCAATGGTAAAAACAGATCAAGGAGGCTGGTGTATTAATTTTTTGAAACATTTATCATTTCTTTGGGTTGAAAACATTCCAAATTTTCTTTACTAAGAAATACAAAAAAGCACTGAGCTCAATTTTATATTAATTTGTCATATTAATTATTTCCGAGTCAGAATTTAGAGGTGAGCCAGACTTATAGTTCCAATGCAGACCAGAAATTTAAGATCAGCTTTCTTCATTTCCCAAGCCAAACAGCAAGGTTAACTAGGTAGGCATTAACACTTCCTTCTTTGAACAACTTGTGGCCACTTAACAAATATCACTGTCACTTACTAGGTTCTTTGGACAATTGAGGGCCTGAGACCTAACATGGTAGGTCTGCTCCCTGAGAAGACATGGTCCAGGCATGTTTGAAAACACATGAATATCAAATGGTAGTTCTACTTTGAAGTTTGTTTTGTTTTGTTTTGCTTTGCTTTGTTTTTGAGAAAGCCCATACCGAGTTCCATAATTGCTGTTTTAGCTTACATTCTCAGCGACCACAAACACAGATCTCCTTCTTCCACACCCAGGTCAAACTTCTTTTGTCTCATTGCCACTCTGATGGTCCAATACAGTGTCTTGCTGTGGGCTGAATTTGAGCACTAGAGCAATTCATGCACTGTGAACAGCACATTCACACACACACACACACACACACACACACACACACACACACACACACACACACACTGGCCCTGTTTATGACCTCTTGAGAAATGTCTGTTTGGATTCTTTCCATGTTTTGAAAACCAGATTGTATTCTTTTTTTTTTTTCTATTGAGTTGTTGGAAGTCTCTTTGTATTTCTTCTTGGATATCAACCCTTTATCGTTTTATGGCTTGCAAAGACTTTTTCCCGTTCCATGAGTTGTCTCTTTATTCTTTTAGCTGCTTCCTTTATACACCATAGATGGTTACTCTGATGCAGTTCTGTGCATCCAGCTTGGATTTTGTAATTTGTGTTATAGGATCATCTTCAAAACTTATTGCTGAGTCCAATTTCAAAAGTGTTTTCTCTGTGCTTTATAGTTTTGGGTTCTACTTTAAAGTCCTTGATCATCCTGAATTGACTTTTACATTTGATATGAGCTAAGGCTCCAATTTCATTCCCTAGCCTGTGGGAAGTTGTTTGTCCAACACTTTAAAAAAAAATTAAGAATCCAGGGCTTCAAATCGTCCCCAATCCTTTGTGAATGTATTTGCCTTGGTGGGATCTTAGGTCGTGACTCAAACACTTCATTTGCTCCACAGCTGGGAGACTTTTCCCTTGTGATTCAGGACATCACTGTGGAGATGTTCGGTGGTGTGGGTGCCCTCTCTGTCTTCCTATGCACAATGCACCCTCATGCACAAGAATGTGTTCAGAATCACATATAACACAGTACTCTCCAGAAAGGATTAGGATTCCAAATTATGGCTTCCTAGGGACAAGGCCCTTGTGGACTCTGCACAGTATCCTTCCCTACTGCCTCTAAAGAAGCTGTCTTCAAGGTCCTCAGACCAGCAGCATCACTTGAAAACTAGTTTAAAAAAAAAAAAAAACCCAAATGCTAAGACTTCAGGTGTACCGGCTTAGGGATTTCTATGTAGAAACCAGAAGGCTGGGTTTTTAAACGCCCTCTAGGAGATTCTATTGCCCACTCAAGTTTGGGATGAGACCAGCTGGCCTAAAGAAGACGTTGCAGCATCCTTTTCTGGAGAATGGAAACTCATTCCAGTGAGCCTCAATTACAATGGCAAATTCACAATCAAAGTCCCTGTCCTGTGTCTTCCTGTTTGTACCCTCGCCTCCCACGGTGCGTCTTCTTTTCTGCCCAAGAGTAAGCATATTGTTGTCTCTTCTTACAGGTCTACACAAACTGAAAAACAATACAAGCTCTGTGAACTTGGACCTCTCTCTGGTGGTAGAGTGCATGGACCACGCTCTAACGAGTATCTTCCCCAAGACTCGCTACACCGCTGGAAAAGATGCCAAGACGTTTTGGATCCCTCTGTCTCACATGCCATCGGTTTTACAAGACTTTTTATTGCTAAAACAGAAAGTAGAGCTGGCAAATCCCAAAGCGGTGTGACTCAATCGACCACAACGGCCTGCCCCAAGTTTTGAGGCTGGCTGATTTCAAAGACTAATCATTTCAATCTCGGTCTTTACCAAACCCGACTTGGACTCATTTAGAGCATGTTCCTGTTTATAAAAGAGGGAGTTCCAGGGTCCCTTAAGTCTTCTTTGAAAATAAGGACAGAGAAGGCTTATCACGCAGTCAATCTTGCCTGATACTGAAGCCTTGCCTGATTGGTAGGATGAAAGGGAAACAAAGACTTCTATCCAAATATGTGTGCTGCTACCTGTCCCTTGCTGGTTCAGTAAGCCAGAAAGTTAAGCACTGTGTTTTGTCAAAATGTTCAGAGATAAGAAGGCTTTCATAAGTGAACCTGATGGCTCTGGTATCTCGCTGAGAAGGAGACACAGGCTGGAACTCAACTAGGTTCTGATAAGCTTTGACAGGAACAAGAAAGTGGTCAAGCAAGCACTCACTGGTACAAACTGAGAGGCCAAGGCCGTGAGCAACACAGGGAAGATATACGAACAAAAAGACAAGAGACAGGGAAGGAAACGAGAGGCAGGGAGACTCCAGCCCAAGCTCCACACTCCAGAGGGACACAGAAGATGCACCACCACGGCTGCTGTGACGTCATCCCGTCTGGTCCCAGTCCCAGAGGCCCTTCACCTCTGGCTTCACTGTCAGCTGCATCATGGCAGAAATTCACCAGCACCATTGGCTGCAGCCACTTCCTGTTTCAATGGTCAGGTTCTTGGCTCCATTTCACAGACTCTGTAGCTTGCTGCCCTTCGACTGTCCAGATGTCCCAAGGCTGCCAAGATCTGCAGAATCTGAAGGAAACTCCTTTGCTGATCTTCCCACTGTATTAGTCGGATTGTTTGATCTTCTGATTCTGTATTTGTTTTGCCTTTTTCTGCGACAGTTTTTTTTTTAATTCCTTTAATTAGCTACAATTTGCTGTTTCTTCCAACCAGAAACTAAGTAACATGCAGTCCAGCATTAAGACCAAGCCTGTCAACTGTGTTACCCACTTTAAAGTGCCAGCTGCGTTTCTGTTACGCCTCTGTTACTTCCTCCTCAGTTGTAGCTCAGTCATCACCTTCCCCTCAGAGAAGATTCAATGGACCACAGTGGTTACTCTTCACCTCTTGGGTCAGAGATACTGTGAAGGAGCCTGCGGCCATAATAAGCCATCTGAGCCCAGGGGGCACCAAATAAACCCAGTGTTAAGAACAAATTACTAATTTCTGTAGCTTGAAAGCAGGGCATGTCTACACCATCCAGACTAAAAAGAATCTCCTCCATTTAATTCTTTTTTTTGTTTTTTGTTTTGTTTGTTTTGTTGCTTTTTTTTTTTTTTTTTGAGACAGGGTTTCTCTGTAGCTTTGGAGCCTGACCTGGAACTAGCTCTTGTAGACCAGGCTAGCCTTTTTTAAAATTTATTTACTAATATCTCCAAAAACCCTGAAACATCTGTGGGGAGCTCAGCCTCGTATATAATGAGAAAAATTCCCAGGAAGCTTCTAAGAAAACTGCTCAAATTTTATCCTTCTGCACGGTATCAGTCCTAATAGTTCTTGGTAGAATAAAATATCTAGACTCATTTACTATGTGGAGGAAGTAGCCACACATCCTCAAAATGAAAAAAACAACAACTCTGGTATCTACAAGTGATTTGTATCAATTTTAGTATAAGTGATCACTTCCTGAATTCTTGAATGCCAAACAAGACAATTCTGCTTTGTTTTGTTTTTAACTTATTTATTTTTATTTTACATGCATTTGCGTTTTTCTATGGGTGTTGGGTCCCCTGGAATCAGAGTTATAGACAGTTGTCAGCTGCCATGTGGGTGCTGGGAATTGAACCCAGGTCCTCTGGAAGAGCAGCTGGTGCTCTTAACCACTGAGCCATCTCTCCAAGTCTGACAATTGTGAGTTTTTCCTTAACTCTGTGGTGATTTTTGCCCTTCTTTTAGTTGCTGGGACTCAAATACTCAGGATCTCATGCAAGAGCCCATGTTATACCACTGAGCTACACCACACCCCAGCCCGTGATTTATTTTTAAAAAGGAAAATTTTATAGTTTCCATCATAGTTTATGAAGCATTGTGCCAGTCAGAGCCCTACCTCCATCTGTCTAACAATTTCCAAGCTCTCTTGTTGGGCAACCTGCCAGAGAAAGATCAAGATCCACAGCCCTCCTTGATGCCTAGGAACAGGATATAACCTGAAATAGGTCAGGCCAAGACAACCCAATCCAACTGTCTGTCATTTTCTGTAGTCAGTAACTGCCCCAACGTGACCCACTTCACATCCGTTAGAGAAACTGGAAACAGAAAGGACTCACTATGGATCTGTAGCCTACATGGTAGACAACAGCCATTGTGTCATCCATAGGCAAAAGTTTACTCTCAGCCGTTGGTCCTGGGACTCTAAGACGATGGCAGAGAAAAGCAAGCAAGTGTGGGCCTCCCTCCAAAAAATGTAGGTGTTGGACATTTACTGACACTCACCTTGTATTTTGTCTTTAAACCTGTCCTTTCTGTTTTGTATACTGATTTGCAGAGATTAACTCACATGACTATTGGCTAAAAGCCCTAACAACAAAGTTGTTCTGTATGATTCTAAAGGCTCGACTTTTTAGCCAGATATTGTAGCACACATACCTTTTAGTCCTGGAACTCAGGAAACAGAGGCAGGTGGATCTCTGAGTTGGAGGGCAGGCTGGGCTATGGTGGAGGTGTGGGGAGCTCAACTCTTTTTTTCTTGACAGTTCTCTGTTAACAAACCACTTCCCTGCTGTGATGAAATGGAGCCATCACGATGATAATTGCCTGGAAATGACAGGTAGAAGCTATCTGAATTTCTAAACCCCTTGTATCTCAGAAGCTGACCTTGACTGAGGACAGAGTCTTTGCAGAGATAGTCAAGTGAAAATGAGGTCTCAGAGCTGATCTTGCTGGTGCATAGCTTTAATCCCAGCAATGGGGAGGCAGAGGAAGACAAACCTCTGTGAGTACCTGGCCAGACTGGCCTACAGAGTGAGTCCCAGGACAGCCAAGGCCATGTGGAGACCCTATCAAAACAAAACAAAAAGCAAGGCTTAGAGTGGACCTTAATCCAATAGGATTGGTGTACTCATAAGAAAGAGACATTTAGACATAAAGCATAAAGATAGACATGCTTGCAGGGAGGAGGGCAATAAGCTAATAGACACAGTATAAGGTGGTTATCTACAGCACATAGAGAGGGGCCTGAGCAGACCTTTCCATACAGCCTTTAAAGAGCCAACCCTACCACCATCTTGATTTCTGACTATTAATCAAGTATGACAGTAAGTTTCTGTTGTTTAAGTCCCTAGTGTAGTAAAAGCATCCTTGACTCCTCACCTCTGAGCACCTTTCTCAAACATGTCTCTTAAAATCCTTGTGAGGATCTGGAGAGATGGCAAGGTGGTTAAAGCACACACTACCCCTTCAGTTCTTGCGCACATTGGGCCACTCACAACCACCTATAACTCTAGTTCCAGGAAATCTGATGCCCTTTTCTAGCATCTGTGGGTGCCTACACACATGTGCACATACATGTACATACAACATAAAAATAATGAAAGTTTGTTTTGTTTTGTTTTTTTGCCTGGTACTGTTGTTTGAAAGTATTTTTTTATTCTTCATGAGGACTCTGTGTGGGAGCCCTTCTCATCGAGTCTTGAAGAAAGACTTGTGGGTGAAGCCCCTTTAGCACGAAACCATCACTGCCCTTCCCGTTCGCTTGAAGACTGGCTGGAGAGTAGAGACAAGGAAAACAGCTTGCTCGGTCTTAAAAACTGAGCAGCAGCATTTGTCAAATCTTAGCATACTGCTAAGGAACACCAGGCTTTCTTCATGGTGTAGGGACATTGTAAAATAAACTTAGGTTTGTGGCAGAACACATCTCAATCTGCTACTTGAACTGGCTGGCCAAAGACAAGAACAAGAGGTGCGTTGCAACTTTCGTTCTCCTCAGTTCTGTAAGTTTGACGGGAAGGGCCCACAGAATGGTGAAAAGAACGGTCAAGGTGTGTAGGCTAAAACATTGCCAGTTTTCTGAGTCTCTCCTGCAGAGTCCTGCCTGTGAGACTGTGACGATGGGGAAGGAGGATTAGATGCTTGAGGACTGGCCTCAAAGGATGCTATGGCACGGCTGCCAAGTTGCAAGCCCTGTGAATCTCTCACTCACCTCGTAATTTCAAAGGAAAGAGAATAATGCACAGGAAAAGCGGGGACTGGGAACACGTTCTTTGCCAGATTCAGGACAGAGTCGGACTTGGGCAGAAAGAGATGTGTTTCTTATATCTGGGTGACGACAGAAGGGCCCTATTGCATAGTAAGAGAACTAACCTCAAAGAGTGACAAGAACAGAGAAGTAAGCCCGGTGCCTCCTCCTGAAACACTTGAAGAGACAAGATGATGGCAGTGGTGACGGTAGTGGCGACAATGATGGTGGCTGATACCCAGTGTTGAACAACTGCTGTGTAACTAAGCACTGTGCAGTATAACTGCTAATTATTAATTAAGTTGTGTTCATTGCATGCATCATTGTCTAATTTCATCATTATACAACAACCTTGCAAAATTCCTATGATGAAAAGCAGAGCCTGGGTGGGTTTCACAATTTGCCCTACATCCTAAAACCAGGGCGGCAGCTTGGACTGCTGGCCTCTACTGTCAGCATTCTCTTAGAAGCAATGCTAGTCTTTCTTACAGGGTTAAATGTTTTCACTGGTTAGGAGATCATTTCCTCAATATTACCCCAGTAGCACAAACACTGAAAGCAACAATTAATAAATGGGACTTTCTGAAACTGAGAAGCCTCTGTAAAGCAAAGGACACGGTCAACAAGACAAAACGGCAGCCTACAGAATGGGAAAAGATCTTCACCAACCCCACATCAGACAGAGGTCTGATCTCCAAAATATACAAAGAACTCAAGAAATTTGACATCAACAGAATAAATAATTCAATTTAAAAAAATGGGGTACAGACCTAAACAGAGATCTCTCAACAGACCAATCTCAAATTAGTGAAAGACACTTAAGGAAATGCTCAACATCCTTAGCCATCAGAAAAATGCAAATCAAAACAGCTCTGAGATTCCAGCTTACACCTATTAGAATGACCAAGATCAAAAACACTGATGACAGCTTATGCTGGAGAAGATGTGGGGTAAGGTGAACACTACTCCATTGCTGGTGGGAGTGCAAACTTGTACAGTTGCTTTGGAAAACAGTATGGAGAGTTCTCAGGAAATTAGGAAACAACCTACCTCAAGACCCAGCAATACCACTTTTGGGTATATACCCAAAGGATGTTCAATCGTACCACAAGGACATGTGCTCAACTATGTTCATAGCAGCATTGTTTGTCATAGCCAGAACCTGGCAACAACTCAAATGCCCCTCAACTGAAGAATGGATAAAGAATGGTATATTTACACAATACAGTACCGCACAGTGATAAAAAAAAAATTATGATGCTTTGAAATTTGCATGCAAATTGATGGATCTAGAAAAAAAACATATTGAGTGAGGTAACCCAGAAAGATGAATATAATATGTACTCACTTATAAATGGCTTCTCGACACAAAGCAAAGAAGATAACCAAACTATAGTCCACAACCCCAGACAACCTACACAGCAAAGAAAACCCTAAGAGAGATGGACAAAGGGAGTAGAAAAAGATAAGATCTCCTGAGTAAATTGGGAGAGTGGGGGCTCATGGGAGAGGGTAAAAGGGGATGAAGGGAAAGGAGCGGAGAAAAATATATAGCTCAATAAAAACAATAAAACAAGATGAGACAATTCGTCTTCTACCATTGAAGTCAACTCATGTAGGGTTTGAACTCTAAATACAGTCGTCATCAAAGACAATGGTCACATTCATCTTGTTGAAGGTTCTCATACAGTCTTCGGTGGCTTTCTGTCTGGTTGCCACTGTAGTCCCGTGAACCATGTCACTTTCCCGGGTAATGATTCAGCAAAATTGTCCCCTTGTACTTTGCTAACTTCATGTAATGAAAGTGGACACCACAGGAAACACTGTGGGCAGAGTAGCGGTTTTGAGTTTTGTTTTGTTTACTTTTTCTTTTCTTTTTCTTTTTATACAAAGTTTTATTCCATAGCCTAAGCCAGCCTCAAACTTCTAACAAGGCTTCTATCTTAGCCTCCTGATTGCTGGGGTTATAAATGTGTACCACCATGTCCTGCTGATGGACTTGAATTTCCCCACCGACCCCCCCAACCTGAACATTGTGACAAAGGACCTATGACTTTTTTAAAAGAGGGAACAAACTGAGGAGACCCCCATTTCTTCTTTAGGCAACAAAGTAGCTGAGTGACCCCAAGAGAACCTTCCTGAAAATGGGCAAGTCAGATCTGGTAGCTCACACATGCAATCTCAAGATTTGGGAAGCTGAAACAGGAGGATAGCTGTAAGTGCAAGGTTATAGTGAGTTCCAGAGCAGCTTGGGCTGCAGAGTGAAGCCCTGACCCCCAGAATAGGGAAGAGAGATAGAGAGATGGTTAGTGGGTAAGAGAGTTTGTTCCTTCTACAGAGAACACAGGATCAATTCCCAGCACCCACATCAGGCAGCTGACTGCTGCCCATAACTTCAGCTCCAGGGGGATGCGAAGCCTCTGACTCCACAGACACAGGCATGCATGCGCACATGCTCCCTGACACACACGTAATTTAAAATAAAG